GGCTTGTATTTTATAGAATATTTTTTGCTGAATCCATATGTGAGGGTTGAATTTCTCAATTTTTGAGAAAACCGAGTTTAAATTCACAAAAGTACGTATTTTTATAGAAACTTTGATTTTCTGTTCTGCCAAGCTGAATTTTGGCACCGATATTTGAAAAATAGACTTGGATTTTATAGAATGGACCTCGCTGAATCTTCAAGTTAGGGTTGATTTGTTTTTTAAATTTTTGTGAAAACTGAATTTAAATTCACAAGAGTACGTATTTTTATAGAAACTTTGATTATCTGTCCAGCCAAGTTGGATTTTGGCTCCGTTCTTTGAAAAACTGGCTTAGATTTTATAGACTGGACCTTACTGAATCCATACGTAATGGTAAATTTTTTGATGTATGAACAATTTTTTTGAAAACTGGGTTTAAATTCTCAAAAGTATGGTTTTTCATATAAATTTGTGTTTCCTGTTCAGCCAAGTTGAATTTCGGCGCCTTCCATTGAAAATAGTCGTGGATTTTATAGAATTGCTGATTCCATACGTATTTTCATAGAAACTTGATTTTTCGGTCCTGTCATATCCTATTTCGGCTCACATGTTTGAAAAATAAGCTTGTATTTTATAGAATGGACCTTGCTGAATCCATACGTGAAGGTTGAACCTGGTTTGTAATTCGAAAAGTATATTTTTAGAAATTTGGGTTTCCTTTTCTGCTCAGTTGGATTTTGATACCGTCCTTTTAAATTTATGCTTGGATTTTACTTTTTGAATTCAGGTTTAAATTCACAAACGTTCGTATTGTTTGTCAAAATTTGGTTTTATGTTCAGCCAAGATGGATTTGGCGCCTTCCTCTGATTATTAGGCTTGGATTTTGTTGAATAGACCTTAATGAATCCGTACGTCTAGTTAAATTTTTTGAAGCAAACACAATTGTTGAAAAAACGAAGTTTAAATTCACAAAGTAGGTATTTTCATATCAATTTGGGTTTCCTGTTCTGCCATTTCATTGAATTTCCCTGGTGTCAAGCGAACTAGAGGAATATAGAAAACATGAGGGTTATTGTGCAATTTTTAAAGAAATTCTAACTACCTCCGAAAAACTAGATCTAGAGATCTTTGGGGAGTTTTAGAGCAGTTTCAGTAGCTTTAGTTCAGACTTTTGAAGCAGTTATAGATCTTTAATCGTAAATATAGAAAAATTCAGGATAATTCCATGATGTGCTGAAAAAAAATTGAGGACCCTTAATATGTTCCGATTCAAAAATGTATCGATACCTTCAGAAAAATTATGAAAACTTCAGAAATATTTCAGGAATTTCCAACGAATTTTAGGGAAATTGAAAGGTGTTAACAGGAATTCCATTTATTTCCGAGCAGAACCGAGATCTTCAATATAATTCAGAGATTTAGGGAAGTTTCGAGAACATCAAGACAGATCAGAGAGTCAAAGGGCAGTTCAAATAATTTCAAAAAAATTGTCGAAACCTTAAAGAAGTTTCGAGAAACTCAGGGAATTTCCGAATACTTCAGCAAAGCGCCGAGAGAATTTATGGAACGTGATAAAATGAAATGAACATCCGGAAAACGTGAGAGTATTTTAAAGGTGTTATATTCTGGAGATTTCAAGAACTAAAAAAAATGCAAAAATTTAGCTAAGTTGATTAGAGAACATCAACAAAATTTCATTGTTGAAGATGCTTATTTCAAATAACAGACTGTAGTGGTAATTTTTATACGATAGATGGAGTAGATGAAAGCATAGAGTTGATAGTTCCGTTAGAGTACGGAACTGTACTTTTAAGGAAGGTACAAATCGGTTTTTTCATCTCTCTTTACCAAACTCCCCCTTTGGAGAGGGATGGTGAGGGGTGTCCCCCCCCCCGCCACCACTGGCAAAAAGAGATGAAAACCGACCCGCTCAAGTACCAACTGTGTGTTTGAAACAGTTCTACCGATTTTTTACCGCCCTTCAGTTGTTATTTGAAGGAAGGCATCCAGTCGTAGGTTTGGAAATTGCAACTATTGTTAATTCTAAACTAAAATTCCATTAATTAAAAAAAAAGCGAGAATTTTCAGCAAGCAGCGATATCTTCAAAAAATTCCAGAGAACTTCTAATACATTTAGATATTTTTAGATAGTTTCATGATATTCAGCGAAGTTCCGACTACTTCGAGGACGATTAGATAGCTTCAGAATAATCCCATTAACTTAAGCAAATTTTCAGTGACTTACAAGGAGTTCCTTGGAGTTATGAGGTTTTTCAAGAATGCTATGATTGATCCAAAAACGTCTGAAGCGTCAGGGAATTATAATATAATATTATAATATTTAAAGAACTTCAGGTAAGAATAGAAAGTTCAGGGAAAATTAGTGAGCGTTTATAATGGTTAAAATCCTTGAGGAAAATTGCCGAAGCTTCAAGGCAAATTAATCTATTACAGTGAAGTTGCGGGTACTTAAAAAATACTGATAAATTCAGGGCAGTCTAGAGAACTTTAGAGAAATTCTGTAAGTTTTTAAGCAGTTTTAATAACACCAGGAAAGTCTAGACTATTGAAGTTTTAAATATGTGTCGATAATTTAAGGGAAGTTTCATGAACTTCAGAAAAATCTTGAGAACTACAGTGAAAATCATAGAACTATATTAATTATTTCGTTCTAATTCCATGAAATCTGCGGGAGCACAAAAGTTCCAGAAATTTAGAAAAACTTCACAAAAGGACAGTGTTTTTCAGAAACATTTCGAGTACTTCATACAAATCTGTGGAGCTTAAAAGGAGTTCCGCGAACTTCAGGAATGAACGGCACAGGTGGTGTAGTGGTAAGCGTGATTACCTCTCACCCCAGAAGGCCTGGGTTCAATCCCAGTCGGCGCTGCCGGGATGTTCTGAGGCATAACATCTCTGATCACGCCTTCCTTCGGATGGGAAGTAAAGCCGTTGGTCCCCGGTTCATGAGTTGATGGGTCGATAGGTAGGGTCCAGGTGTGGGAGCTGCCTTCCTGGCACGTCGGTAGCATTGGTGCTCAGCACGGAAAACAAGATCGACGGAAAAAACAAACCAAAAAAAAAAAACTTCAGGAATGTTTATGTACATTAGCAAAATGCAGCAGCATTTAAAAGAAGTTTAGTTCGCTCCGATAATTGAAGAAATTTCAGGAGGAGGTCAGTTCCATTAGTTTCAGAAAATTAGTGGGAAATTTAAAGCAGTTCTTAGATTTTCAGATAACTTCAGAGACATTAATAAGTTAATTGAGGTTTTCGCATATGTTCAGAAGTTCACTGAAGCTTAATCATTTTTAGGACGGTTCAATTAAATTCAACGCAGTACAACAAGCTTCATGAGAGCTTCAAAAACTTTAGAAAAGTTTTGAGAAATTCAGAAAAGAACAGAGAACCTCAGAGTAGTTCCGTTAACATTAGAGAAGTCCCATAAATTTTAAAGAAGTTAAGAGAACCTCAGAGAATTGTTAAACCTTCAGAGGAAATTGTTAAAAAAAATTGAGGCAAATTTAATAGGTCATAAGTTTAGGGAAGTTAAGGAATTTGATGAGAAGTATTGTAACCATCAGGCTAGTTTCTCAAACTACAAAAGAAATTCAAGGCAGTTTCATTAACTTAAGGAAAAATTTGGAACTTTCAACTAGTTCTGAAGACCTCAGAATAATCCATTCCATATTCAACGGAGATTTCCATTGAAATATTCCTCAACATTTCGATCAAGCTATCCTCCGAATTCTATTTTTTTTTTAGTTTTCCTCGGAACTACCTTGATATTCTCCAGAATAAGAAACCCTTTGGAATGATTCTCTGAATATTAATTGAATTCATCTCACTCCTTCCCTTGGAATTCTACTCACATTGAAAGCCTCCTTAGAATTCATTTGCATTTCTCCTCACAGTTCCTTAGATTTCTTCGCATTATTTGTTTGGCAATTTCTACTGAATTTATTTTCTCCGAATTCCTTTGAAGATGTCCTCAGATTTAATTGTTATCCTGTTTTTAGTATTTAAAAAAAATCCTAGAGCTTCTGTCTCGGATTAGTTTTCTCCCACAAGCTTTATGAAATTATCCTCAGAATGCCCTTGGAATTTTCCTCTGAAGTTCAAGGGAGTTGTGCTCCTCAGAAATTCCTATAAGTTTTAATTTGAAAATTTCTTGATGTATTATAGCTTTTTAGTCCAGAACTAGATCAAATTTAAAATTTCTAAGAAAAATGCATCTTCCAAAAAAAAAAATAATAATAATTTCAAGCCTCTGGTTTTTTAATTTATTTGTTACTGTAGATTAATCAACTTTGGATCTATGAAGTTCAAAGTGTGAATAAAAATAGCGAGGAAAATCTGATGCTAGTATTTTAAATTCATTCTTATCTTATCTCTTCATTCTTATATTGACGACTGTCTATGGTCCATACAAATTATCAAAAGTATAGACGATTGACTACGCTGGGTGCACAACTTCGCAAGCTGAATCGGGACTTGACCGGGAGCGCCACTCATCGGGTCGCGAGGCTCAACTGCCGATATCTGCTAATACCCAGCCTCACCTCTGCGTCCGAATCTTGTCACTGCTGTTTCCGCTAACCGCTGCTGTTGATGCTAGGAAGTCAATATTCCTTGGCCTTCTCATGACCACCTACAGGACACAAACACCTTCGAGTTGGCAATCAAGCGAGCTATAAATTCAAATTTGTTCGATTTATGGCTGCAAACGGAGAGGAAAATGAACGTTTTCCTTCTCTGCTGTTCTCGAACGACCGGCGGACGGATCCAGGTGGACGGATAACACAAATCCTTTCGATTAAAACCCATCAATTTCGTGTGTGATATGGAATGGTGGATTTCCGTTTGTATCTTCTGTATGGGGAAGTGATAAATTTTAATGGTGGCTATAAGGTTGATGTCTCGCTGCTGGATGGGTGTCCATTTCGAGCGCGAAATTAGTTCTTGATTATTTATGGATGAGGTTTGACTGACATTTGTTTTCTTTGTCTCTTTTCAGATTTTTCTACTTGTACCATTTTTCATTCTACGCCTATCACTACCGATTCAACGGACAGTACAGCAACTTGTCCCTGTTTACTTCGTGGCTTTTCATTCAGGTAAGTGATACAAATGAGTGCGGTTTTCAAATTGTTCGCAAAAGGGCCAACACGGTTTCTTTAAACTTCAAACGTTCCCAAAGAAATGCGTTAATTATTTAAAGAGCTTCCAGCGAGACCCTTCCAACAATAATGGTCGATCGTAATCGAAACCGATTCCAGGAATAGCCCAAACCCATTAAACTTTTCCTTGGGGTGGGGGGGGGGGGGGTGTCATCCGCTCGTAGGTTGTGCAGGCAAACGCTTAAATTAGTCAGTGTTCAACCTAATTTGGCACGGTTAGCTGCGCACGAATCAAAAGGAAAGAATAGGCCTTAATTAAAACGAGTGCTTGCCGGCAATCTGCTTTAGTTTGGAAAGAAGCTCCACAAAAGTCAGACCAAACGCCACACTGAAATAACGATCAAAGTGCAATCAAATATTGACACTTGAAAAGTTTTTCTGCCCACTGGAGTCCGATTGGTTCGGTCAACCGTTGGTCGTTGAAATCAAGTCATTCTTCTGGCAGGAGCACTAATTGAGGTAGGAAAAACTTTGGTACCTTCACATGTTCAACTCAGTCGAGCCTAGAAAATTTCAGCTTTTTCCGCAACGCAAAAATGTGGTCAAAACTTAAAGAGAAATGAAGACGATTTTCCGACCCTTTTGTTGAGTTCTGTGCTGCGAAAGTGATTACACCTCAGCGTGCTGACCCCTCTCCCGCCAACCTTGTGGCTGCGTCAGTTTTCAAAAGAAAGCAATATCTCCACTAATCCAATTAGTATCAAGTGAGCGGGAGTGAACGATATTGTAAAAATACGTTTCGGACAAGGTGAAGTGAAAAACAATGACGCTTATCCGGCAGAGGACATACAGGTAGGGTCTACTTCCTTCCCTTGCTGATGCCAGATTATTTCAACCATAGTTGAATGAATGAGTAAAGTTGCATCATTAATCAAACAATAAACGAATAATAAAAGTGGAAGTTCGTCAATATTCCCGGGTGCTGTTCGCGTCTTTTTTTCGCCTTGTCTTGATGCGAAAAGAAGGAAATGAAAATCCATCCTCCATCGTCCTTTTTTTCTATTACCTTCGGGAAGAACAAGAACGGTGCAGTAGAAACACTGCAAGAGGAACCGAGTAAGCCATTGGTAATGCTATTTATAAATTATGAACCAACACTTTCCAATTATAAAACAATACATCATCAGGTGCTAATAAGTTAAATGTGTATCTAGCAAGTGAGGGGATGATGGTGCTATGCAAGAAGAAAGTGCTATTACGAAGTAAGCAGCTGCTGAGCGTACTTAAGAATTGATCCTTCTTTTGTTTTTGTTGTCAAGAATATTGAAACTGACTGCGATAGAATGCGCCTGTGGATTAAAACTTAATGACCATCGGAAGTTAGTAAATTGGCAAGATTTTTTGTTGTTGTTGGCTTACTTCGTTGGCAGCACCTTTTTTGCTCGTAAATCATGGGAGTACGATAGATTTTTGTTTCGGAAAACCTTCTGAGTATTAATGGATTACTAATGAGGTATTTTCTGTTTTAAGGGCATATGGGGTATATTTTGGGAATTGTTAATCGATCTTTTTAATATATTGTTTCGTCCTGTGCTTGCAAAATGTTAGGCGTTTGTGTGTTTGTATTCTGGGTTTTACAGTTAATTTTGTATTTGTTTTCGATAGCTTCTAAGCATTAGAAGAGTGTTTAGGGTGTTCAAATCCCCACTAAGATTTGATCATCGCCTAACGTTTGGTCAAAATTAAATATGGACACACTTTTTATTGCAATGTACACCTTTGTCATTGACGAAAAATGAATGAAATTTTGTCCAGTGTCCAGTGCCGTGAAATACTTCAAAGACAATGACAGGCTTCAGCTTTGACAAAAACTTACTCTTTCAGTTAAGTAAGAAAATGTTTCTTGCAAAAAATTCCGCTCGTTTGGCAGGCACATCACATACCAAATTCATCATTATTACTTGACGACATAAATTACTTTGGTTGTCGTTCCGCTGTTCATTTCACGTTGCTCCACACGGAATTATTTACATCATAATCATGCGGCTCGGTAATCTACGTTGGTAGGTACATGCTAATGCTGCTGTTCTCGGAGAGTACCAGGGAAAACCCCCTCCCTGGTGGAAGCCAAACCGAAGAAAAACACACGCCTATGCAAATGACAGCTATTTGATGAGAAAAATTTTACGTAACCGAAAAAAAAAATCCGTCTCTCTTTCTGATAGGTTTCCCCCTCAATCACTCGCCAGCATCCGCAGCGCCACTGAGGTTGGTGAAGCGGTTGAGCTGTTACCCGGCTTCCGGTGTAGGGTGAAAGTTTTCCATTTCCTCGCATCTCTCATTCTCTGCCGTTGCGTTGTGCCATTCTAGGATTTCTTTCACGTAATCGTCGCCATTGCACAGCAAGCCTTCCCACCTCCACCCACCGCACCAAGTATAATGAGAAAATGGAAAACTGCGTCTGAAAACTATATACATAATCAATGGAAAGTATCACCCCGGTGGCTTCCGGTCTACACGCTCTCTTCGCCTTACCACACCTACCGAGCGTTATGATGGAAACGTCTGACAGCGTCACGTTGCTAGATCTTGCGTCGACCGCTGAGAAACGCTGCCGTGTGCGACTCTCTGGATCGCACAGGTGCCGTCGCATATTGAGTTATTTGAGACTAATTTTAAATTATATGCCATCACCTCTCTTTCCCAAGCCAGAAACAGGAAACTTGTAAGAAAGCTCGATTTTCTGCTTCTGATGTTGGTTCGTAACTACCATCTTTCTTATAGTATACATCATCATCGTGTCCCCATAGACTGCACGAGCCATTGATGACTTTTGCGAATTAAGAGCACATGCATAGCCCCTGCTGGGAGAGGACGGGGTTTGTCTTTGAATGTTCTTGGTAGCGGAGCTGCAGGTCACGTGAGCGTTACATAGAATTCTGTACACGTGAAGAATATAATTGAACCACGTGACACTGGTACGCCAGAGAAATCCAAAGCGTCTTCTATGTGGGTGTTTACAATACAGACAGTAGGGGTGAGCCATTAAGACAAATTTCAACTGAAGAAGTATGCACCAACTTTAAGTTGGCTTCTGTAAAGATTGATTATCCAGAGAAAGTTGGAATTATTCTGCAGGGGGGGGTTGGCGCTATCGATAGAAACGAATTTAGTCAATTTCAAGGCTTAGGATCTCCTGCCTGATCTCGACTTTACATTTAAAGCTGCCAGCACAATGCCATCTGAGTTTTGAACAAAGCAGTAGTCTAGTTTCAAAAGGCCTGGGTTCAATCCCAGTCAGCGCCGCCGGGATGTTCTGAGGCATAACATCTCTGATCACGCCTTACTTCGGAAGGGAAGTAAAGCCGTTGGTCACCGGTTCATGAGTTGATGGGTCGATAGGTAGGGTCCAGGTGTGGGAGCTGCCTCCCTGGCAGAATTCAATAAATGGATGAAACGTGGACATCTCGTACCGTACGTTCCGTTGATATAAATGATTGGTCGTTGGGAGCATCTAATCTAAAAAAGTTAAATGATGCTCCATTTTCCTAGAGTGGTTGGGACATGAGCACTAGCTCTTGTCTTAGCCCTATATGGCTTATGGTTATAGCGCCATGACTCGCTTTTTGAAGAGCAAAAAAGGAATAAAAGGCCGTAGGAGAAAGGAAAAGAGAGAAGGAACCCTAGTTCTATCTTCCCTTGTTTAAAAACAGAAAAAAACGGGTCTCTAATCAATCTACAGGAAAAGTTCACGAAACTCACAATGACACGCGAACTTTTCCTTTTGTGTGCCTATATTCTATGTTTACCGTAACTTGGGATATGAAAGGAAATGTTGATGTAGTACTTACTCAACGAGAGGTCACCGAATTAGTGACACCCTCATAAGTACTACGGAGTTGGAGTATTGGGTACGTTATTAAATCAGGATACGCCTCAACCAGGCGATACAACCAAAAGCATTTTATGTCTGGTCAATGCAACACAAATATCGAGATTACAGCGCTCGCAGAATAAAATAATGCGTTTGATTTTGAGATGTAATAGATTCACTTCCTCAACTTTGATGTTAGACGCCTTACAAAGGTTGTCGGTGAAGCAAAGAATTGTATATTTGACTATGGCGTTCATTTTTAAAGTAGTTAACGGTTTGCTGCCTCGATATTTGTGTGATCGAATTGAAAGAGGAAGTGACTTTCATACATAGATATAATACTTTCTATAAATTTTAAATTTTAAATAAGAACACCACATTTCTTGACTTGTGCTTCACAAAATTCATTATATTTTAAAGGAATAAATGTTTTCAATTCGCTGCCTAGACATATCAAATGTTCAGCAACACTTACAGAATTTAAAAGACACTACATTTCACACGTTAAAACAGTCTTTTGAGCAGTTATCCACTGATTTTTCATAAATTGACAAATTATGTATCTTGAAGAAGTTATCTCTAACCCTAACGGATTGTTTTATATGGATAGCTGTCATAACGACTTTTCAATAATTATTGTAGCACTGAAAAAACTATTTTTGTTCGCCACGATGGTGATTATGGATTTTTAATATTTGATTTAATAGTAGATTAATTAAAAAAAAGTAGTCTACAAAGGTTTGAGCCTCGCGCGCGTATAACGGATATAGAGGACTGAATTTAACATTTGATAAAAAAAAAATGCAATTTTGAAGCTTATTTGGAAGATACCTTGAGTTAGTAGTAAGTTTTCTGGCAAATGTTGGGGGTTCGTGAGCATTCCTGACATTGCTGAAAATTATGATAGCATCAGTTGCGGGGTTGCTAGTGTATGTTAATTTTAGTTGATTGTTCATTAACTCTTGATTGCTTGTAATACTTTTGAATATTTTAGGTGGACAAAAAGGCGAACTAAGAGGTGGACGCCTGAGCTTTTCCACATTTATATCGCTGTGAAGCAACTGTAAACTCTAGAGGAAATTTATAGCTGTAACTGAACCCAGTTCGATTTTGTTTGCTAACC